ATTCGTATGAACCATAATCTTTTGTCTAATAATCTCTGACATACTTTGCAAAGATAATTTGTAAATGTATGTAGAAAGACATGTCAAGAGGAAAAAATACACTCATATATGTGCTAGACACATACATATAAGCACAAACATACTGAGAGATAGGCAGATTTATCGACTTGTAACCTGTATATCATACGGTATTTTGCTGTAACAGTATGTCATCAGGCCTACATTTATAAAAGAAACTGATTCGTGGCTTGAAAAGAAGAAAAGGTTGTAACGTAAAACGGAAAACAAAATACCGAAAAAAAAGAATAAACAGAATGAAGTGAAATAGAAAACAAAAACAAACTAACAGAGGACTCTTGTTTACAAGAGCAGTGCACATGATACGCTTAAAAAGGCCAAAGATTAACAATGCTTGAAATATCAGTTAAGTCTTCCCAGTATATTTTCTTTCTTTCATTGCTCATGAAAATATCGCATGATCCTTTTCTGTCCTGAATTAATGATGCCTTGAAATATCTTAAGGATTTCATCTTGCACACTGACGCTTTGCAAGCATATAAAGGAATGGCATATGGTACCTTGCCAGTGATATCAATGGTCAAACAGGTTACAAAAACAATAACACCGGGAGGAATAATATGGATATTACAATAGTCACTAATGACAGCGATGCATTCATAGCATTGATAAAGATTATACATATAATAAATATAATAATGGTAACAGTGATTCTTATTACGGTGATGCCGTTTTTATAAACAAGAAAAATAGTATAAATCAGTAGGACACTGATGGTAATTATTATCATCAATATACTTACTGTGCTGGTATCGTAGTTATCCTCTGTTAGCGTTGTGATAACAAAACTCACATTGATGATATAATTAGTAATTTGTATTTTATCTGCTTTATAAGATAAATATTGTATCTACTGTCTATATGTATATATATACATGCATATAATTTATATATGTATATTAATGAATATATGTATATGTAAAAATAGATATATGTATATATATGAACATATATGTGTGTGCATGTGTGTGTACGTGCGCTTGTGTACGTGTGTATAAGTGTATGTTTGTGTATTTGTATATATATATATACATATATACTTACACATATATATTGTGTTTATTTATCAATGCATCTCTATATATGCACACACACATATATATAAATGTGTTTCTGTGTATGTCTTTGTACCAACGGAAACACAAACACATGTAATCACACACACACAAACACATATATGTATGTATACGTGGACATATATATGTATATATAAATATATGTATATATATGTATAAGATTAACAGATCTATCAACAAGCACACAAAAGACAATCATACTGCTATACCTGGTGGTTTACGAAACTGATACAGTGTCCTTGGTTTAGTGATCGTGAATGTACCATTTTCTTATCTACGTCTGACATCAGGTGCTTTTTCAGCTAGTAGTTACATTGTACTTGCAATGGACAAAAAAAAAAAAAAAAGCTTTGTTATATGATGACGAATATACGTTCTCGCATACACTGATAAAAAAAAAACCTCAACACACATAAACTTATGTACGTACGCACGAAGTTCAATCCTTATAAAAACATTCTTCGGGTCATCCTCTCACCCGACTATATAACGAGGCCTCACACACCGACCGTTGCACTCACCTCTGAACTGTCTCACCATGAAGATCGTGAGTACCAGGCCCTACTTTAATGCATTTATATAAATATATATTGGTGTGTAATTATGTTTGTGTGTGAAGCATAGCTGTATGTAAATGTTCGGAAGCGAACTTAGAACATCTTTTGTTCTAGATCCTTGCCCTCGCTGTGTTTAGCATAGCTGTGTGTGAAGCATAGCTGTATGTAAATGTTCGGAAGCGAACTTAGAACATCTTTTGTTCTAGATCCTTGCCCTCGCTGTGTTGACTGTGGCTGCGGCCGAACAGCTGCCTCTCGTCAACCCACCCATTGCCATCGTGCGGAGCAACCAGGTGAACCCCGACCAGTTCGGCGCCCACAGCTCTGACTTCGAGGCTGCCAATGGCATCGTGTTTCAGTTTTCGGGTTCTGAGGGCGTCGCTGGCGGTTCTAACATAGTTGGCTCTTGGAGGTGAGTGATATTTGTCTGTAATTATTTTCTCCAACAGTACGCAAAAACGTTACAATGATAATTACAATCCGAATTACTATGCTGTCACACTGACCGAATGACTTTGTTTACAGTTACCCTCTGGAAGATGGTACCGTAGCCTCTTTCAAGTTCGTGGCCAACGAGAACGGCTACCAGCCCGAGTCGTCGCTCCTGCCCGTGGCCCCCGCCTTCCCCCACCCCATCCCCCAGTTCGTCCTCGACCAGATCGAATTCGCCCGCCTCGAGGACGAGCGCAAGGCTCGCGAAGGTGCAAAGGCACAAGAGTAGACTGTTAAAGAGACTGCGACTTTGTTTTAATTTAAGTTGTTAAAGTTCGATTCTTTGAACGATGTATCTAAATAAATACATGATATAAAATCAAACGTTTGCATTTCCTCTAAATATCAGCACTAAAAGTCCCTTAAAATGGTAAGAATAGAGAGGCAGAGAGATTAGACAAACTATGGCTTTAATGAATTGTATGAATATAGTGTTTTGGTTAATGAGAAACGGATCAAAATGACGATGTGCAGAACTTTCTGTAGGTTCTTCGTTTGCTTCGCATTTATATAGCATCGGTGAAAGCATTCTGTTGACTACCCACGGTACTTAAGATCTTGCATTTCATTTTTTAGATTTTCTTCTCATCACTAGTTACGATTTATCTCTTTACTTAATCCCTTTATCTATTTATTTTTTACGGTTATCGCATTCGTATGAACCATAATCTTTTGTCTAATAATCTCTGACATACTTTGCAGATAATTCATAAATGTATGTAGAAAGACACATATCAAGAGGAAAAAATACACTCATATATGTGCTAGACACATACATATAAGCACAAACATACTGAGAGATAGGCAGATTTATCGACATATAACCTGTATATCAAAAGGTATTTTGCTGTAACAGTATGTCATCAGGCCTACATTTATAAAAGAAACTGATTCGTGGCTTGGAAAGAGGAAAAGGTTGTAACGTAAAACGGAAAACAAAATACCGAAGAAAAAATGAATAAACAGAATGAAGTGAAATAGGAAACAAAAACAAACAAACAGAGGACTCTTGCTTACAAGAGCAATACACATGATACGCTTAAAAAGGCCAAAGATTAACGATACTTGAAATATCAGTTAAGTCTTCCCAGTATATTTTCTTTCTTTCATTGCTCATGAAAATATCGTATGATCCTTTTCTGTCCTGAATTAATGATGCCTTGATATATCTTAAGGATTTCATCTTGCACACTGACGCTTTGCAAGCATGTAAAGGAATAACAAATGGTACCTTGCTAGTGATATCAATGGTCAAACAGGTTACAAAAACAATAACACCGGGAGGAATAATATGGATATTACAATAGTCACTAATGACAGCGATGCATTCATAGCAATGATAATGATTATACATATAATAATTATAATAATAATTCTTATTACGGTGATGCCGTTTTTATAAACAAGAAAAATAGCATAAATCAGTAGGATGACATCGATGGTAATTATTATCATCAATATGCTTACAATACTGGTATCCTAGTTATCCTCTATTAGTGTTGTGATAAAACAAAAATCACATTGATGATAGAATTAGTAATTTGTAGTTTATCTGCTTTATAAGATGTATATTGTATCTATATTCTGTCTATATGTATGTATACATACATATAATTTATATATATGTATATTGATAAATATACGTACATGTATAAATGGATATATGTATATATATGAATATACGTGTGTGCATGTGTGTGTGCGTTTGTGTACGTGTGTGTAAGTGTATGTTAGTGTATGTATATAGTATATATATACATATATACTTATACACATGTATATTGTGTGTATTTATCTATTTATTCATCTCTATGTATGCACATGCATATATATATATATATATATATATATATAAATGTTTGTGTTTGTGTTTGTACACACTGAAACACAAAGAGACATAATCATACACACACAAACACAAGTGTATATATACGTGGACATATATATGTATATATATACATATATACTTATACACATGTATATTGTGTGTATTTATCTATTTATTCATCTCTATGTATGCACATGCATATATATATATATAAATGTTTCTGTTTGTGTTTGTACACACTGAAACACAAAGAGACATAATCATACACACACAAACACATGTGTATATATACGTGGACATATATATGTATATATAAATATACGTACATGTATAAATGGATATATGTATATATATGAATATACGTGTGTGCATGTGTGTGTGCGTTTGTGTACGTGTGTGTAAGTGTATGTTAGTGTATGTATATAGTATATATATACATATATACTTATACACATGTATATTGTGTGTATTTATCTATTTATTCATCTCTATATAAATGTTTCTGTTTGTGTTTGTACACACTGAAACACAAAGAGACATAATCATACACACACAAACACAAGTGTATATATACGTGGACATATATATGTATATATAAATATACGTATATATAAGTATATAAATTTATCAAATCTATCAACAAGCACACAAAAGACAATCATACTGCTACACCTGGTGGTTTATGAAACTGATATAGTGTCCTTGGTTTAGTGATCGTAAATGTACCATTTTCTTATCTACGTCTGACATCAGGTGTTTCTCCCGCTTGCAGTTACATTGTACTTGTAATGGGCAAAAAAAAAGTTAAGCTTTGTTATCTGATGACGAATATACGTTCTCGCATACACTCTTAATAATAATAATAACAATAATAAAACTCAACACACAAACTTATGTACGTACGCACGAAGTTCAATCTTTATAAAAACATTCTTCGGGTCATCCTCTCACCCGACTATATAACGAGGCCTCACACACCGACCGTTGCACTCACCTCTGAACTGTCTCACCATGAAGATCGTGAGTACCAGGCCCTACTTTAATGCATTTATATAGATACATATATGTGTGTATGTATATTTGTTTGTGCGTGAGGCATAACTTTATGTAAATGTTCGGAAGCGAACTTAGAACATCTTTTGCTCTAGATCCTTGCCCTCGCTGTGTTGACTGTGGCTGCGGCCGAACAGCTGCCTCTCGTCAACCCACCCATTGCCATCGTGCGGAGCAACCAGGTGAACCCCGACCAGTTCGGCGCCCACAGCTCTGACTTCGAGGCTGCCAATGGCATCGTGTTTCAGTTTTCGGGTTCTGAGGGCGTCGCTGGCGGTTCTAACATGGTTGGCTCTTGGAGGTGAGTGATGATATTTGTCTGTAATTATTTCCTCCAAAATTACGCAAAAACGTTACAATGATAATTACAATCCGAATTACTATGCTCTTAGAGTGACCGAATGACTTTGTTTACAGTTACCCTCTGGAAGATGGTACCGTAGCCTCTTTCAAGTTCGTGGCCAACGAGAACGGCTACCAGCCCGAGTCGTCGCTCCTGCCCGTGGCCCCCGCCTTCCCCCACCCCATCCCCCAGTTCGTCCTCGACCAGATCGAGTTCGCCCGCCTCGAGGACGAGCGCAAGGCTCGCGAAGGTGCAAAGGCTCTAGCGTAGACTGTTAAAGAGACTGCAACTTTGTTTTAATTTAAATTGTTGTTAAAGCTCGATTCTTTGAACGATGTATCTAAATAAATACATGATATAAAATCAAACGTTTGCATTTCCTCTAAATATCAGCACTAAATGTCCCTTAAAATGGTAAGAAAAGAGGAGACTATGTAGCAGGTGTGCTGCTAGTAGAGAGAGGCAGAGAGATTAGACAAACTATGGCTGCAATAAATTGTATGAATATAGTGTTTTGATTAATGAAAAACGGATCAAAAAGACGATGTGCAGAGCTTTCTGTTTGCTTCGTATTTATATAGCATCGGTGAAAGCATTCTGTTGACTGCCCACGGTACTTAAGATCTTGCATTTAATTTTACTTATGATTTATCTCTTTACCTAACCCCTTTATTTATATATTTTTTTTGTTTTTACTGTTATCGTATTCGTACAACCCATAATCTCTTGTATAATATTCTCTAACATCATGCAATTCATAAATGTATGTAGAAAGACATGCAAGAGGAAAGAATACACATGTATGGGCTAAACACACATACATATAAGCGCAAACATACTGGTAGAGACAGATATATAGAGACAAATTGATAGACATTTAACCTGACATTGTATATGATGCGGTAATTTCTGTATCAGTTTGTCACCAGGCCTACATTTATAATACAAACTGATTCGTGGCCTGGAATGAGGAGGATAATGTTGTAAAGTAAAACGGGAAACAAAATAACGAAAGAAAAAAAGAATTAAAAAAATGAAGTGAACTAGAATAAAACAACCAACAGTAGAATCTTACCTACAAGAATGATACACACAATACTCTTAAAACAGACCAAAGTTTAAAAATGTTTGAAATATCAGTATATTTTCTTTCTTTCATTGTTCATGAAAAACTCGTATTCTCCTTTTCCTCCCGATTCAGTGATGCCTTGATGTACCTTAGGGATTTCATCTTCCAGTCTGACGTTTTGGCAAAGCGTATGCATATATACATAAATTGAGTGTTTATCTATTCATCCCTCTATATATGCATATATACATAAATTGAGTGTTTATCTATTCATCCCTCTATATATGCATATATACATAAATTGAGTGTTTATCTATTCATCCCTCTATATATGCATATATACATAAATTGAGTGTTTATCTATTCATCCCTCTATATATGCATATATACATAAATTGAGTGTTTATCTATTCATCCCTCTATATATGCATATATACATAAATTGAGTGTTTATCTATTCATCCCTCTATATATGCATATATACATAAATTGAGTGTTTATCTATTCATCCCTCTATATATGCATATATACATAAATTGAGTGTTTATCTATTCATCCCTCTATATATGCATATATACATAAATTGAGTGTTTATCTATTCATCCCTCTATATATGCATATATACATAAATTGAGTGTTTATCTATTCATCCCTCTATATATGCATATATACATAAATTGAGTGTTTATCTATTCATCCCTCTATATATGCATATATACATAAATTGAGTGTTTATCTATTCATCCCTCTATATATGCATATATACATAAATTGAGTGTTTATCTATTCATCCCTCTATATATGCATATATACATAAATTGAGTGTTTATCTATTCATCCCTCTATATATGCATATATACATAAATTGAGTGTTTATCTATTCATCCCTCTATATATGCATATATACATAAATTGAGTGTTTATCTATTCATCCCTCTATATATGCATATATACATAAATTGAGTGTTTATCTATTCATCCCTCTATATATGCATATATACATAAATTGAGTGTTTATCTATTCATCCCTCTATATATGCATATATACATAAATTGAGTGTTTATCTATTCATCCCTCTATATATGCATATATACATAAATTGAGTGTTTATCTATTCATCCCTCTATATATGCATATATACATAAATTGAGTGTTTATCTATTCATCCCTCTATATATGCATATATACATAAATTGAGTGTTTATCTATTCATCCCTCTATATATGCATATATACATAAATTGAGTGTTTATCTATTCATCCCTCTATATATGCATATATACATAAATTGAGTGTTTATCTATTCATCCCTCTATATATGCATATATACATAAATTGAGTGTTTATCTATTCATCCCTCTATATATGCATATATACATAAATTGAGTGTTTATCTATTCATCCCTCTATATATGCATATATACATAAATTGAGTGTTTATCTATTCATCCCTCTATATATGCATATATACATAAATTGAGTGTTTATCTATTCATCCCTCTATATATGCATATATACATAAATTGAGTGTTTATCTATTCATCCCTCTATATATGCATATATACATAAATTGAGTGTTTATCTATTCATCCCTCTATATATGCATATATACATAAATTGAGTGTTTATCTATTCATCCCTCTATATATGCATATATACATAAATTGAGTGTTTATCTATTCATCCCTCTATATATGCATATATACATAAATTGAGTGTTTATCTATTCATCCCTCTATATATGCATATATACATAAATTGAGTGTTTATCTATTCATCCCTGTATATATGCGTACACGTACTTATAATTTATATATATATGTATATGTATAATAATAAATGTATATATGTATTTATAAATGAACATATGTATATAACATATATATGTGTGTATGTGTATTTGTGTGCGCGCGTGCTTGTGTACGTGTGTATAAGTGTGTATGTGTGCTATATATACATAAGTATTTACGTATACACACATATGTTTCTCTTTTTATTTATACTTCTCTCTCTCTCTATATATATATATGCATATATACATAAATTGAGTGTTTATCTATTCATCCCTCTATATATGCATATATATATATATATATATATATATATATATATATATATATAAATGTATGCATGTGTTTGTGTTTGTACACACGAAAACACACAAACACATGTACTCAGTCACACACATACAAACGCACACACATATGCAGGCATTCGTAGACATATGCATATATAAACACATGTATAGATTTATATATACATAAAGGCAAGCATACTGCTATACCTGGTGGTTTATGAAACTGATACAGTGTCCTTAGTTTAGTGATCGTGAATGTACCATTTTCTTATCTACGTCTGACACCAGGTGCCTCTCCTGTTTACAATAACATGTGCTTGTAATGGACAGAAAAAGTTAGGCTTTATGTTATCTGATAATGAATATACGTTCTCGCATACACTGATAATTAAAAACTCATGTACAAATTTTAATCTCTATGCTATCAATAGACACAAACTTATGTACGTACGTACGAAGTTCAATCCTCGAAAAAAAATCTTCGGGTCATCCTCTCACCCGACTATATAACGAGGCCTCACACACCGACCGGTGCATTCACCTCTCAACTGTCTCGACATGAAGATCGTGAGTGCCTACGTCCTACTTCAATATATATATGAATATATATTTGTGTGTGTGTATGTGTGTGAAACATAACTATGTAAATGTTCGGAAGCGAACTTAGAACATATTTTGCTCTAGATCCTTGCCCTCGCTGTGTTGACTGTGGCTGCGGCCGAACAGCTGCCTCTCGTCAACCCACCCATTGCCATCGTGCGGAGCAACCAGGTGAACCCCGACCAGTTCGGCGCCCACAGCTCCGACTTCGAGGCTGCCAATGGCATCGTGTTCCAGTTCTCGGGTTCTGAGGGCGTCGCTGGCGGTTCTAACATGGTTGGCTCTTGGAGGTGAGTGATGATATTTGTCTGTAATTATTTCCTCCAACATTATGCAAAAACGTTACAATGATAATTCTAATCCGAATTACAATGCCCTTACACTGACCGAATGACTTTGTTTACAGTTACCCTCTGGAAGATGGTACCGTAGCCTCTTTCAAGTTCGTGGCCAACGAGAACGGCTTCCAGCCCGAGTCGTCGCTCCTGCCCGTGGCCCCCGCCTTCCCCCACCCCATCCCCCAGTTCGTCCTCGACCAGATCGAGTTCGCCCGCCTCGAGGACGAGCGCAAGGCTCGTGAAGGTGCAAAGGCTCAAGCGTAGATTGTTAAATAGATTGCAACTTTGTTTTGATTTGAATTGTTAAAGTTCAATTCTTTGAACGATGTATCTAAATAAAAAACATGATATAAAACCAAACGTATATATTTCCTGTAAGTAGCAATATTGATGTCCCTTTAAAGTGCAAGAATAGAAGAGACTATGTAGCAAGTGCTGTACTTGAGGGAGAGGCAGAGAGATTGAACAATATATGGCTTCGATAAATAGGACGAATACAGCATTTTCATTAACGAAGAGCTGATCAAAATGGCATTGTGTAGAGCCCTCTCGTTTCTTCGCCTGTTTCGTATCTTCATAAAATTCGTCTAAGTCTTATGTCGACTGCCTATGTTGTTTAAAATCTTGCCTTTTAGTTATTAGCTTGTATATTTATCTCTAGTCGCCGTTCATCTCTTTCTCTCATTTATTTTTAACTGCTGATGCATTGGTTTGACATCATACTTTCACACACATATGTGTTACACATACATATATATGTATATGCAGTATATTTATTTGCACACACACACACATATATATATATATATATAAACATATAAATACAGTATATAAATATTTGCACACACATATATTTATAAACATTTAAATACAGTATATATATGTCTATGTGTATTTACACATATATCTATATATACCCAGGATATATGTATATATACTATGTATACATAAGCACATATAAAAAGATAGACAGATATATAGACAGAGACGGTCACATATACACTGTATATCATACAGTAGATTTCTGTAATATTCTATCATCAGACCTACACTGAGCTGATTCTTGACCTGAAAAGAGCAGATTTTGTAATGTAAAACGAAAGGCAAAAAGAAAGAAAGAGAAAATAGAATAAAGAATACCATAAAAACATAGATTCACATAGATTTCTTAATGCACCTGATACAGCCATTTTAGAAAAAGAACTTGATTTCTCATAAAAAGATTGTATGACCTTTTTAAAAGGTCATGGATTATTATTACCAATATACTTACGGTATTGGTATCGTAATTAGAATAAATTGGTGCTGTGATAATAACAATGATCACAAGGATGATAACATCACTGATTTGCAGTAACTTCTGCTATTTATATATATAAAATATAAACTAATATTTATATCATCTATCGAGTTCAATTCCCCGTCGCAGCGGCCGTAAAAATGCCTGCGCTCAGACTGCTGGCTCTAGCCCGAGAAATGACATATCGCCTTGAGAAATCAAACGCAGGTGTCATTGGGGATGTCACCGCCGTAGGCACAAGTGTGTGGTTGATTAGGAAAAGCATCCAATCAGGCAAAGGTGACACTGCCATATAATCCCTCAATAGCGAATTGAGAGAGGCCTGTGTCCTGCAGTGGAATGAACGGCTGTACAAAAAAAAAAAAAAAAAAAAAAAAAAAGAAGAAAAAAAGAAAAAAAAAAACATGTATAAATATAGATAAATAAATAAATAAACATACACATACTTAAATATCACTGAATGCATATACATAAATAAATATGTGTGTACTTGTTTGAGCGTGCGCACGCAATGTGTATATGTGCGTTTATGTGTATGTGTGCCCTTGTGTGTGTATGTATATATACAGATATACACACATACATACATATCCATGTATATATCTATATATAACATGTATACATATGCATGCACATAATATATGTATACAAATATACAATGTATATATACACATATACACGCACATCGATACAAGCACGTGTGTATGTATGCGTATGTGTATGTGCATATGTATATATATTTAGATATATACACATACATTCATGCATGTAATTATATATACATACATGCATGTATATATACACCTATATTTACGTATTTGTGAATATATCTATACATCTTTCTTAGTACACACGCACACACATATTTACATATTTATACACACATGTATATATACATATGTATAAATACATACATTTATACGTGAACGTAAGTATATATGTACCGGCATATACTGTATACACACGCACACACATATATATGGATATATATGTATATGTATATCCATGTACACACAAAATACAGGTACACTGTTGTAGTCTTTGGTTTATCATAGTGATACTAGGTACAGTGTCCTTGGCTCAGTGATGGCATGTGTACCATATTTCTATTTACGTGTGCCTTAAGGTATCTCTTAGTTACAGTATGCTTGTATATCCTGCTACAAAAAAATATCATTAATATGGTATCACCAGGTACAAACTCATGTACGTACGCACGAAGTTCAATCTTCAGAAAACATTCTTGTGACATCGGGTCATCCTCTCACCCGGCTATATAACCTGCCCTCACTCCCTGACCGTTGCACTCAGCTCCCAACCGTCTAACCATGAAGATCGTGAGTACCTGCAATTGCACGCATATATGTGTATGTGTGAAACATAACTGCATGTAAATATTCGGAATCTTTTACTTTAGATCATTGCCCTCGCTATATATAAACATACATAATGTATATATATATGGACACTCACAGCATGAAAGCATATGGTGTATTAGTATACCTGTTGCCTATAGGCAAACTTAAGAAAATTCTTTTTTTTCTTCATCCAGATCATTGCCCTCTCCGTGTTGGCTGTGGCTGTGGCAGAACAGCTGCCTCTCGTCAACCCGCCCGTTGCCATCGTGCGAAGCAGCCAGGTGAACCCCGACCAGTTCGGCGCCCACAGCTCCGACTTCGAGGCTGCCAATGGAATCGTGTTCCAGTTCTCGGGTTCTGAGGGCGTCGCTGGCGGTTCTAACATGGTTGGCTCTTGGAGGTATGTAGTAAAATTATCTCGCATATTTCCTTACTCGAATTATACAAAGGAATACTGCAGTTGTGATATTAGGGGATACTCGAAATCAAATGTGGCATGACTTAACGTTTATTCTTTTACTTAGTTATCCTCAGGAAGATGGTACCGTAGCCTCTGTCAAGTTCGTGGCCAACGAGAACGGCTTCCAGCCCGAGTCCTCCCTCCTGCCCGTGGCCCCCGCCTTCCCCCACCCCATCCCCCAGTTCGTCCTCGACCAGATCGAGTTCGCCCGCCTCGAGGACGAGCGCAAGGCTCGCGAAGGAACAAAGGGCCAAGCGTAGTCATTTAGTTTCCGAGCGAATTCTTGTTAAACTTTGACCTTTAAGCAATTTTATATTTAAATAAATGGATGTTATAAAGAAATGATTTATATTTCCTATAAATAGTACGAAAGAGTTACCCATAAGACTGGTAAGATCTTTTCTTGTAAGAGCGTGAGAAATTTCTCCTGCAAAATATGGTTAATCGATATGGAGCATCAGGTAAAAGGACCCATTTATTCCTTTTTACTCACTGATCTGTGGTGACTATTTTCACCGGCTGCCCGCTCTTCTTGGGGAGATTAAATTTAATCTTTTCTATAGAGTGTTGCTGTTATTATAGCAGTTCCACTAACTTATGATCTATTGCGTGTATTACATACTGTTCATTTTCACATGCTTCCTACATGGCATTATACATAAATTCATGAATATTTGTAGTCTAAGTTTTAAGGAGTCTCCATGGGTTTATATATCTAGAACGTTTGATATTAACTTCTTTGTGCCTGTAGGCATGAAATAATGTGTATTTGAGTATTAGACACAAAAATGAATATATATGTGTATATGTAAAAAATACCAATAAACAATGTATATATGTATACATATAAATGCTCAGATGTCTATATATGTGCGTGTGGGTTCGCGCGTATACATGTGTGTTAACTCTATGCAAAACTAGTCTGCCACCTTGTGAAAAAGTAATGAAGCATTGGAATGGCACCTTGGAATGGCTTTGTGTAACAACTTCTGGGAGGACTATTTGATTTCTATTCTCGACTAGCTGTTTCTGTCGTCAGGAGAAAATTGCAGGACATCAGTTTTTTTCACTGCTGTTCGAAAGTGTGGAAAATAATTATTTCACCTGAAAGTGTCAAGATGTATTTTTTCTGGTCTCGTAAAGAAGTAGCATGATCTTGTCAACTGATGAAGGCAGTATTTCCTGATATATAGCCAGTAATAAGAAATAAATATACCATTAATTATAATGTTAACGAAAGACTGCAAAACTATATTTACCTTTAGCAACAGTGATCTTGATAATAGTGTAAATAATTGTAATTATGCTGGCGAAGGTATCACTAATATTAACAATAACGATAATAATAACAGTAGTAGATATGAAAACCAGATACCTGCAAGAGCACTACATCAGCCGTAAGATAAGTGCAGACATCTAAGTCTTCAAGAAAATCTAATTTCACAGTATGTCTACGACATGTTTGAGGAAATAAAATGACATGTTGCAACCCCGCAACCCCGGGGTTATCAGTGGGAGGGCTTTCCCCTGGGTCAGATTCCAGCTGACAGACTGTGAAGAAAGTCATGTGTCCGTGGGTCCGCTGTTGCACATATCCGAAAATATCTTTACACCCGTGATTTTTCGAGCAAGGACATGTGACTACAATCCTGCACAGTGATATTTTTAATTTCTTTTTTCGAGGCTTTGCTATTTGCAAAGATTAGTCGATAGTTTTTGAAATTTCCTGTTGACAACCCAAGGCAATAATTAACAAATAAACCAACAAAGAAATATAAATCACAGACTCCTCTTAAGAGGTAATATACGTGTGCATTTATGTATACACAAGTATCTATATACATGTATATATGTGTATGTTCATATGTATTTATGCCTTTACCGATCGTGAGGGTGACATTTTTACAAATAAATATATTCTACAGGTACCCCTCAGACCTTGCAGCACCCAAATCACAAGTCTATGAAAATGAAATCATGAGTACAGTGATAATAAAAAACACAAGACTGTGCCCACATCAAGATGATAACCCACAAACGTACGCACGGGGCAGTTTTGATGGAACATTCTCTGACCTGTGACTATAAAACCTGGCCTCACACACTGACCGTCACACTCATCTCCCAACCGTCTCACCATGAAAACCGTGCGTACATACATGCAGGCAGTCGCCGATTTAGTATATATATGCTCACGCAAAGGCATAATATGGACACAATATAAAGCATATAAATATGTGGATGTATAATGATATAGTAGTATACCTGGTGCTATAGGCAAACTTAAGAAAATTCTTTTTTTTTCTTTATCCAGATCATTGCCCTCTCCGTGTTGGCTGTGGCTGTGGCAGAACAGCTGCCTCTCGTCAACCCGCCCGTTGCCATCGTGCGAAGCAGCCAGGTGAACCCCGACCAGTTCGGCGCCCACAGCTCCGACTTCGAGGCTGCCAATGGAATCGTGTTCCAGTTCTCGGGTTCTGAGGGCGTTGCTGGCGGTTCTAACATGGTTGGCTCTTGGAGGTATGTAGTAAAATTATCTCGCATATTTCCTTACTCGAATTATACAAAGGAATACTGCAGTTGTGATATTAGGGGATACTCGAAATCAAATGTGACATGACTTAACGTTTATTCTTTTACTTAGTTATCCTCAGGAAGATGGTACCGTAGCCTCTGTCAAGTTCGTGGCCAACGAGAACGGCTTCCAGCCCGAGTCCTCCCTCCTGCCCGTGGCCCCCGCCTTCCCCCACCCCATCCCCCAGTTCGTCCTCGACCAGATCGAGTTCGCCCGCCTCGAGGACGAGCGCAAGGCTCGCGAAGGAACAAAGGGCCGAAGCGTAGTCATTTAGTTTCCGAACGAATTCTTGTTAAACTTTGACCTTTGAGCGATTTTGTATTTAAATAAATAGATGTTATAAAGAAAACATTTGTATTTCCTACAAGTAAGACGAAAGAATTACCCATAAGACAGGTGAGAGCTTTACCTAAATAAGATTATGCAACGTGAAGTGGCAAGAAATCGAAATCGAAATGGAGCATCAGCTCAAAAGACGTTCCCTCTCTGCTTACCTCACGCATTAAAACACTTTAATATTCCATATTGTTTATTTTCACAAGCTTCCTTCATGGTATCATAAATGTATGTATACTTGCAGAAGTGAAAGTTTCCGTGTGCTTATTTAGAATGTTTGATATTGGTTTATATATGACTGAAGGGCCTAAACAGTGTGCACACACCCGATCCCCGACTTCGTCCTCGACCAGATCGAGTTTGTCCGCCTCGAGGACGAGCGCAAGGCCCACGAAGGTTCAAAGGCCCAAGGATAGTCTTTTATTTCCTAACGAATTCTTGTTAGACGTTGACCTTTGGAGGATTTCATGTTTAAAAAAGTAAATCTTCTTTAGAAAGCATTTACATTTCTGACAATATGAGAGAGGATAAAAAACAACACTGAAGAGACAGGTTACGTTCTCATGAAAGAGCCATCTTTTATACACGACGTTAAGATGCTTATTGAAAAAAGTGTATTTTTTTAGTATCCTTAAAAAGTCTCGATCCAGGACTCGATCTCATTCTGACATCCTCATGTGCATGAGTGATTCTAACTTTATACTTGACAGCTTTACACAGTAGAAGTGGCAATTGTAAAAAAAACAGTATCAGTGACTAGAGTGGAAATGATAAAAAAAAAATCTTACCATTAGCGCACAAATTACAGCATTGCTATTTACAATATATGTTGAAATAAATACAATAATCATTTCTAATTCGGTTATAATTGCAGCATCTCCAGTAATGATGAAATAACTTTAATGCTGAAACCTAAAGTCCCGATGGGGCAATTTTTGGCGTAAAATGAGATTGGCATAAAATGTTATTGACAAGGATTATATAATTACATCAAAAGTAATGGATCAGTAACAATACTAGAGTTAGCATTACCACTGTATAAGAGCTATCTTAATTACTACCATTCCGAATTATCATCTATTGATTATTGTATGATAGTAATGCAATTAGTGAACATCACATACTTTTCTTCCACTGTATATACACAGATGGCCTAAGACAGGATTCTAGGAGGAGGGGCGGTACTTGCGTCGGGAATGCATTACACTCCCAGAGTTTGAGGGCATCATCGCTTGGCTTAGCTGTTTTGGCAGTGCTTTCTGTTGGAGCTAAACATTAATCTAAACATTAAGTACTGTGCTCACAATTCACGAATCCTAAGGAAGACCGGATCCTTGCACCGCCCTCCTCCTGGTCACTGGATATATGTATGTATATATGTATAAATATATATGTATGCATTTATGTATTTATATGAATATAAATAAGACATGTGGGCATATTGTTGAGCACTTTAAGGTGAATCATACTAACACGATCACATACACACGAACGAGGGCATGTTTAAAGATCATCCTCTCATCTGTGACTATAAAACCTGCCTGCTGACCGTCCCACTCACCTCTTCATTGTCTCACCAAGAAGACCGTGAGTACATGCAAGCAGTCACTGATTATTTAGAGTATATACATATATATGTGTAAACACAATCGCATACACACGTATATGAGTACATACCTATATAGACATATATATATGTGTGTGTGTGCATCTGTATGAAATAGACTATATATTTTTCTGTAATTAAAAAATTTACAAAATTTCATCTTATTTCAGATCATTGCCCTCGCTGTATTGGTTGTAGCTGCGGCCGAGCAGCTGCCTCTCGTCCACCGCCCATATCCATCGTGCGAAGCAGCCAGGTGAACCCGACCAGTTCGGCGCCCACAGCTCCGGCTTCGAAGCTGCCAATGGGATCGTGTTCCATATTTCGGGTTGCGAGGTCGTCGCTGGCGGTTCTATCAGGTAATTCCTACTCGAATTACACAGAGAAATAATATAGTTGTTATAGTAATGACCGAAATCGCACTTAATGTTTTATCATCCTTTTTATAGCTATCCTCAGGAAGATACTACCGAAGCCTCTTTCAAGTTCGTGGCCGACGAGAACGGCTTCCAGCCCGAGTCGTCGCTCCTGCCTGTGGCCCCCGCCTTCCCCCACCCCATCCCCCAGTTCGTCCTCGACCAGATCGAGTTCGCCCGCCTCGAGGACGAGCGCAAGGCTCGCGAAGGCGGAAAGGCTTCAGCATTGGCTTTTATTTGAATCCGAATGTGAATTTCGAACATTATTGTAAATGTTATATCTGAATAAATACATGATATGAAAGAATTTTTGTAATTTCTGTAAATACAGAATAATTTCCTTTAAATCTAGAAATTATATAAGATTCAGCCACATGGGCGCAGCTTATTTAGTCATGAATAATTCATTCATGAATAATGATTCATAAAAAAGAATACTGGTTTACCTATATGTAGCTCTATGCAGACACACACACATATATGTATATATATATATATATATATACATATGTGTGTGTGTGTGTTTAAACATGCACACGCATGTATAATGAGGGATAACATTATGTATTATGTCAAGCCAGTGCTCCACATGACACCAAAATTGGATAGTGCGATGGTAACAAATGATTACCTTGTAATGGCTGTATATCCTCTCTTCGGCTGAGTAGACGTAATGCGGAAAGGTTGATGTGTGGTAATGACGTCTTCACATGATGCTCAGCTCCCTCTTTAGGAAACGAGCTCTTTTAGGAGAGAGGAAGAAAAATATGTCAAAGTATACCGAGAAGAGAGAGAAAAAGAAAAACATTAATACTGTGCGTCCGCATTTTACGAGCAGTTATGTTTCAAAAATGGAATGTTATAATGGCAAAGGCAATACACGGCGTAATAACAATTATATTATTCCAACAAAATAACATTACTAACAACAGATATTAATGGTAACCACGTGATGTACGGATAAAGGTAAGCTTCCCTAGGGGTGTAGGGAACACTCCACTTAGATCTGTGGTTAGTGCTGGTAAAAGTTGCCTATAAGTATACCAACGTAGCTGAATTTTATGGTATTTGCAATAATAAAAACAAAGCAGGCCAATAGTCTTGAGGGTAATAAGCCATTAGAATACAAATTACATTATTCATATGGACAGTGTCATTCGGACGAATGTTGATGATGCTAATTGTAAAAGTTATAATGGCATTATCATAATTAAACAGTTATAACAATGTAATAAGAATAATGATAAAATAAGTGATTATTATCATGGCAATAATAACATATATATGTGTGTGTGCATACATGCGCGCGCGCACACACACATACACACGCACGCACGCACACACATACACACATACATATAATGATTAAACCTGACCTGAGCCTCGAACTTTGATTTCCATCGGATGCTTCGATTATTTCCTTGATTTGTATTTAAAAATATTTATTTATTTATTTGTATGTGGCCTCTCTCTCCTTGGAAATGTATAGAATAAACCCCCCAAAAAACTGTATTGATTGCAATGATATGAACATTTGATTGTATTTTTGGTACTACTGCGACCATGATTAATGTATGGGATTTGCTCATTGATGAACCTCCCGCACTGGAGCCTTTGATTTTGGACCGAGTGCTGATGCGACAGAGCTGCAGTAACAGGGCTTAAGGGCGTCGTTAGTAGTAATGACTCGGGTTCATGTGGAATACGATTATGTATGTGCGGTTCTTTATTTCCTTCTACATATTTTTTTTCATTATTTGCATACTTCCATGTAACAGGATGGTGAATGAAACTGACCGAGTAAAGTAAAACACATATACACACTCACACACACACATATATATGTATATATGTGCGTGTGTGTATAAATATACACATGCATATATATGTACATATGTTTATATATATATATATATATATATATATATATATATATATGTGTGTGTGTGTGTGTGTGTGTGTGTGTGTGTGTGTGTGTGTGTGTAAAAATATATATATGTGTGTAGTGTGTGTGTGTGCGCGCGTGTACGTGTGCATGTGTGTGTGTGTGTGTGTGTGTGTGTGTGTGTGTGTGTGTGTGTGTGTGTGTGTGTGTGTGTTTGTGTGTGAATATATATGTGATATTGAAATATGTATATATATATATATATATATATATATATATATATATTTATATATATATATATATATATATATATATATATATATATATATGTGTGTGTGTGTGTGTGTGTGTGTGTGTGTGTGTGTGTGTGTGTGTGTGTGTATGTATGCAAGTACATACACACACTGAAACTCCTCATTTGGACAAATGTAGAAAAAGGTATGAATGTGAAAGAACGTCCGGTTTCAACCAGATCACCAAATGAAGATCTAGTCGAAACCTGATGTTGAATAGTAACTCCCGATGTTGCAAGATAACAACAATTATATTTCCCCTGTATTTTTTCTGGCATGCGTGGCAAAGGAAGGTCTTTGGAAATGGTTACGAAATCGTGGAACTTCCTCTTGAAAGCATACATGAAGTATAAAGCAAATAACTAATTGATTCATTAATAAATACTTCAGAGCAGCAATACTGTCGCAAAAAGTACATTAATATAAAGTATAAAGGATGTTACAAAAAGCAGTCTTGAGAGAAATTGCCTTATATGGAATTCAGCGGCAGCTCGCCTTTGGGAATCGGCCTCAGACGAACTTAACCGTGAAGTTACTCAAACATGAATAAAGTTCGTACATAACGAATCAGTATGGAACAATCGATCCACAAGTTTTTGGCGGTTAAACTTGTCCATTCTGCGGCGTATCTCCCAGCCCAGGATAACATTATTAAATTTTTCCGCCCTAGAATACGCCTGCAATTGTCGAGACCTACATTCTTCTTGATTCTCTCCTTTCATCACTGCCACGAGTATGGGACTACTCTCATCCCTCTCGCTGCTCAATTATTGTAATTTTATCCTATTATCCTATTGTTATCTTATTACCCTCCCCTCGTATTCAAGCGTATGTACTTACAGTCCAATAATATTGTATGAACACAC